ATAACCATAATAGTTTTAACTCAAATCATCATCACTGTTATTCTGGTTGTTATCTTTAATGTCAATGTTAATGTATTTAATGTCAATGTCAATGTAATCTTTAATTTCGATTAAATTATCAATATCGATTCCTTTAAGCCCCTTGTGATTTATTTTGAGGTGGTAGTTTTGGAACATTTTGTGTATTGCAGACTTATCTGCCATTTAATAAATTTTATTTATTTTGCTAATTCAAGCATTCGAAAAAATGAACCATTACTGTTATTTGAATATACTATTTTGTCCATTGCTATAGTTTAGGGGAGAATAGAGACTATGCCTTAAACCAAATCTAATGATACACAACAATGTAACAATAAAGAAGACAGAAGGGAGAAAATACCTTATATATTCCCCTTGTCAAAGGGACGCTGGGGATAAGGAGACCCAACCGCTAAACCCTGGTGGTAACGAATTATCATCCAACACTTTTAGTTTGGACTCCAAGCTGTAGAGTGAACTCCAGCTGAAGAGCTAGAACGTGAAAAGTTTTTAATGCCTTCGTAGGATTCGAATTCAAGGACCTCTGGTATACACATTGCGTGTACTTCCATGAAGGCAGGAAGGGGAAAATAGAAAGAGGAAAGTGGGAGAAAATACCTTATAAAATTTTAGTATTCACATTGTTAACATCCTTGCAAACATCCTAACGATATTTGTTTCGGTTCGTATTCCATTCAGAACATCTATCGGAACAACACTTGCACATTTTTGCATGATTCTTTTCTTGAGATTCTCAGAATTGTCAATTCTTCCATTGCGAACTTCATTTCTGCCAAGAATCAAAGGAAGATGTTTAGTGTAATGAACTCTCAGTAAGGTTTCTTACGGGTTCAAGAGAAGTGTCAAGACTACAGCTAGTGTGGCGCGCGGGAGAAATACCGGCTTACAAATGTCATCCGCAAAGGTTCTCTGTCATTTGTCACCTTCGGAAAATGAGGATCTATTTCATTTGAACTTCTGGGGATTCCTATCTTAAAATATAGGATACGTTTACTATTTTAATACTCTTCCACACATTCTTCCACACATTTAAGTGATTTGAAGTTTTCTCGATATGCGAAATCTCTGGAAATAGCGACTTGAACGAAGCACTTTTGGACATATCCAGGTACGCATTGGACATCCAGGTACACTTTTGGACATCTAGGTACAGTTCATATTAGTTTTATCTTCGAAAAAATGGCCAATATCCTTGTTTGTCATTAGGCCCACCGAAAACTATCCTTAGAAGAATCTCGAATGGGTTCATATATTGCACGCAACTGTTTGTACCAAAAAAACCTATGCATAAAAGCACTTTGAATGAAAGAATCGAGTAAAAAAACTTTTAAACCATTGTACATAATATAAGACTAAAGACTCGTAAGACCTCCTCATTGATCCTAAAACTTTACATATAAGCTCTGAAGAAAGCAAATATATATATGTTACGGTGAAACACCGAAATCTGGAGAATGTCGACTTTCACCGGTGAATGTCAACATTCACATAGTCGCTTGGTGTATGTCCGAAATATTTTCCAAATACTCTTATTTCTGACTTACACCGGTGAATGTCGACATTCACCATGTACTAATGGTGAATGTTGAACATATAAGAATATTATATTTCCTTCTCCGTAATTCATTCGCAAAAAACGCACTTGAGACTCAGAATAAGAACTTAAAATACACAGTACATTCAAAAAAAGAAAGGAAAATAATAGAAGTTATAAACTTACCAAATTATGTGATTCCAATCTTATTTATTGCAACAACTTAAACTATTATGACACTTTGAATCGCACAAGAGACCGCTGCTTTTACAACTGCATTTATTTGTGGAACACTTCCTTTTGGAATGGCAGCGTGTACATATACTCCTCTCTTTTCGACCTACACCAGAGCATATCTGTGATTGTCGACATGCACCGGTGAGGGTCCGAATGTACAAGAATGTAAAGAAATATTCGATCTTTCACCGACGTATTTGGTGAATGTTGACATTCTCCGGTGAAAGTCGACATTCTCCAATTTCGATCATTCACGGTAACATATATATTACTTTGGATGCTGTTAAAAGAACGTATACTTACCTTATACTTAACATTATGGAACTTTTCATTCGTTTTCTTTTAACGCATATTTCTATCAATCTTTCATGTGCAGTTTTAATTAGGACAGCCGACACTCGTGGAAGCCTATTTTTAGACATTCAACTCTTACGAGTTAAATTCCAAGGCGTAATATTAAAAAAAATTCGATTCCAAATTTCATTCGTTCACAAAAATTCGATTCCAAATAAAGAATGTGCCCACCAGCTACCGAGTGGCAAAGTTACTAAACAATGGCAGTTCGGTCCGAGGTTCGATTCCCAAAAAACGGGGGCTGGTTGAATGGGCGTTTTTGTGGTTTTTGCCATGTGCAACATGTATGTAAGCTAGTTTTCCTTAGAAACTCCTCTACGAAGGCATCCCTTTCCTTAGGCAAATAGTCGTCGCGTGTTTTGTCATTATTAAAACAAACGAACCAACCAAATAAAGAATAAGCATTTATGCGTTTTCCCTAAAAATAAGGATTAATTTCATTTTCTTTTTCATTAAATTTAAGTCTCGTAACGAAACTCATCTGAACTCATCTTTAAAGCACATATATTTAGAGATATTTTACAATCACAAATTTGAGTACAGCTTTATGATAAAAATTCCATTAATTTTAGAATAATTAAGATTTTATTAGTTCTCAAGTCTTATAACATTCCTTTTTTGATATTCTCCATAAAGCAAATGGATATCATATTAAAATATTATTAAGAAAGACTGTTAGACAGTTTTTATAATAATAACGTTTGGTTTCGGGGTTGTAATACTTATAATAGTAAAACGCGAATGAAAGTACTAAAGCTATAACCTTTCAATAGTTAGCGCTTGCTAAAAAAAAGTTATTTTACAGAATGAGAAATACTATTGTGAATTTAAGCTGAAATTTCTTTCTGTTATCATTTTAACCCTCTCAGCGTTACGGCCGGAAAATTCTGTGTAGAAGACTGTCTTCTATATTCATTACAAATGAAAATTTCTGCTAGCTTTTTAATGTATTTGATTTCGGTTTGGATGTATATTCGAAGAATAGGAATCAAGGTATAAAATGAGAGATTCATTTTTTAATTAAAATCAAGAAAATACCACTTATTCATGACATTTTAAGGAACTTTGAAATTTCAGGGCTATACTCGTAACGCTCGGAATGTTAAAAACTCCAAATTAATGTTTGCTCTCTTTTTATAACAGCATAAATATCTATTCTTAAATGGATGGCTGGAAAATATTACTAAACAAAGGATCCAAGTAATATAAAGCAATAATTTGATTTTTTTCAGTAAATGAAAAGTTCAGTATTCTGTTAGAATAAAATAACGTACTTTGCCACGCCAAGTAAGAAATTTGAATAATTGAAATCTGAATTGCTTCTTTTTAGCTCTTCGTGAATGAAAATGGCATTTTCATTGCAGAATCGAATACTATATTTATCTTTCTAATTTTGTTACATGAAAATTTAGATAAGAAAATGACACGATATGTGTCATTTTCTGAGACTGAATTCTAAGGAAAAGCCTCAGCAGATGAAAACAGTGCATTAAGTGATTTAGCAATGCTGGTGTTGTCTTGTCCATGAATTTCATGGAAGAATGATTGCCAGAGTCTCAAGGAAGTTAGACATCTCTTTCCACTAGAATTGAGGAAGAGCAGCTAGGAAAGTAGTCCGAGGGTTTCCCATCTCTCTCCTCTTCCACCAAACCACACGAGAGGACGCCTCGCCAAATATTTAAAAGTTTCCCCCATGCCGCAAAGATACTATACATTTACAAAAAGTATTATATATTTTTAAGAAGTCAGCGGCAATAATTTCTTTCACTGCTTCTAATTTTGTTAATTTTAAATTTTACATTGCTACCCATCCAGTCTCTATACTCTGCTACTCTAAATCAAAAGTTTGTAAGTAATATTGTACACACCGTAGGAAAACCGTACATAGATGGGGATAAATATAAAAATCTAATGTAAAATAAGTAAATATAATTAATTAATGTAATATTGTAATATGATGGGGTAAATGTAATAAATCTAAGAAAATACTGGCATTTCAAGAAATTTTTCAGCCCTCTAATTACAAATTTTAAGCGTTAATCGTAACTAGTTGATTTACAACCTTTGTAATTAAATCATTTGTCAAAATTTTATCTCTGATATATATGCATCTAACGTTCAATTTCAGATAGATTTCTTGAATTTTTAATAGTTTATATAAATTTTGTCTAATTGAATGCGTTAATTAATATTTTTAAAAATCTAAGTAACTTTGATGACTTTATATTGTATCATAAAAACCGCTCAGATGGGAAAGCGGTTAATGATTCTGATTGACGTACCGAAATATTCAGGCTCGAATCCTGGAGAAGGCATTAATTTCTTCTATTCATCTCTTTACAGGAGGCAGCTGTGGCCCACTTATTAGGTACCTCCGTAATAAACTGACCACCACTTCCGGCCTTAGTAGAGGGCGCCACCTATTAACTGCTAGATCCCACGATTCGGGATGTGGGGGGATATTTTGTCATAACATTAGAACAGTGTGATAAATGTAACATTTTGATTAGCATTACCATCGTATAATGTATCCAATTCTACTACACAACGTTATTCAAGAGTTCTGAAATATGTAAATAAATGAAAGTAACATAATGCATTCTGCAATATTCTGAGCTCGCATGTTTGACTAAGCTATATAATTCATTTTAAATACGCATTTGTGTAATGGACAACATTCCGAAAATACTGTCTCTCTCTCTTTTTTTTTTTTTTTTTTTTTTTTTTTTTTTTTTTTTGTTCACTAGAATTATTTAATTAAATATGGCTATATAAATATGGCTATATGAATATGATACTATGCAGTTCATCAATCGACAATGAAACACAAGAATTCTTAAATTAAGTACATTTATTCAGACATTAACTTTACAGATAAATGAAAGTAAAGTGAAGGTAAGGAACAAAAATCACCGGGACTCGAAAGTCGGACACAAACTTTTATAAAATGTTACAAAGTCTTACTTCTTGACAACTGGGTAACCGTGGTATTCGATGTTATTGAAATAGGGTACAGGACCTGCAAAAGATGCAACAACTGGGGAGTACAGTGACTTGTAATAAGGTGCTGCGTAGCTGAGGGAGTTCAAATATGGGTTGATTGCATAACGTGGGGCGTAGGCAATGGGACTGTGAGCGTAATTTACTGCATAGTGAGCTGGAGCATGATTGACAACTTGACTGGAATAAGAATATTTGGATGTGGCAGGTGCAGCATATGCTATGGGAGCAACAGGGGCAGCTGCATATGCGAGGGAAGAGGATTTGGCCACTGGCACAGCTGCACGAGCTGGGAAAGAATAGGCAACAGGAGCTGCCTCAGCTACGGCTATGGGAGCAGCGGCGATAGATTTGGCAACAGGAACAGCAGCAGGTTCTGGAAAGGCGTACGCAACAGGCTTGCTTTCTGTCACTGTTGTGACGGATTTAGCTACGGGTACGGCAGGTGCTGGAAATGCATAAGCGGCGGGTTTTGCTTCTGTCACTGTAGTAACAGATTTAGCTACTGGTACAGCAGCTGGCTCTGGGAAGGAATAGACTACGGGTTGAGCCTCTGCAGCTGTAATTGTGGTAGTATGAGATTTGGCAACTGGAACTGCAGCTGGTTGGGGAAAAGAGTAGGCGACTGGTTGAGCTATACTTTTAGCGACCGGAACTGCAGAGACAGCTGGGAATACGGGAGCAGAATAGGACACTTGCTCAGTCTTCACTGCAACAGGTTCAGAAACGGTTTTGGCTACAGGAACGGCGGATACTGGGGGAAATACAGGAGATGAAATTGCTACTTGTTCCGTCTTTAAAGCCACGGGTTCAGCAGCTGGGATGGCAACTACTGGAGCATGAGCTGGAACTGCAACAGCAGACTGCACGATGACAGACTCTGCTTTGTTGATGGTTGCGTCTGCAGGATCTTTTGGCTCCACACCAGGTTCATTGGTTTGGATATCAGCCTTGAAACCATCATCGTTAGCAATGTAATTAACGATGCGAATGCGTCCATCAGCATCTCTCAAGCCATAAGAGCCAGCAACATTTCCATGAGCATCACCAGCTTCTCTCCTGAAGGTTCCACCAGAGGTGTGATCTTCATTGTAGCCGAAGTTATAATTTCCAAGATTCTGAAAATATGCATGATGTTTATCAGTTTTGCACAAAATTAAATTAACAGCTATGATACGTTAAAATAAAGAATGTAGTTGCATTAGGCGAAACATTTTCTCAAAATGCAGCAGATCAGTTAAAGTAATAAGACTTTTGCATATACTTTTATGCTGCTATTTTAATGGATGTATAATAGACAGCATTTTAGTTTTAGACACAAGAAAGAGAAGAACAAGTCACCGCTTTCAATATGCTAATGATACTTCTTCAGTTGTATGAAGAACGAGTTAAAATATATCGTTTTTAGTTTAATCAAATGAAAAATAGCACTTTCATCTGTTACTAGTACTTTCCTGCTGAGCATTATATTCAGCAGATACTTTTTCCTGAGTTACAACTTCTCTGCTGAAATAATGTCACTGTTTTTCTTGTTCTTCGGGAAGAAGTCTTTTGAAGACGTCATTGCTGATAGTTATTCCTTTAATTAGTCCTTTTTTTAAACTATTTTCCAAAATTTATATTTATTTAATATTAGATTTTGTATACAAAAATGGTACTTCCCAAAAATAAATTTCTGACTATTTTTAGTTACTATAATTTTCCCTATGGCTAAAATAATTTGGCATTTCGTGTTGAAGTAGGGAGTATTGATATAAGAAAAAAAGCATGAAGTGCATGAAAAATGCATGAAAATGTAGATAATGAAAGAAAAAATTCATTAAAATGTAGATATGAAATTTATTTAGTTTGAGATTTCCTTAGCTAGAGCTTTTGAAGTTAGAATTAAAACTTTGACCAACAACCTTAAGAAAGTTTTAATTTTCTTTCAAAATTTCTACTATTTTAACATTCTTTTATCAAGTGCAGCTTTAGTGAAAGACTTCAAGGTTTATTTAATGCAATTAAAAAGAATTTATACCTTTAAGGTTTATTTAATACGCTTAAAAATTTATATCTTTAAGATTTATCTAATACACTCCCTCTTAATGGACACTGCTAGAAGAGATAGATTAAGTAGATTTTTATTAGTAAATTAATTTTAGATATTTATAAAGTGAACGTAATCTTTCTTTGGTTATTTAATAGAAAAAAATTTAAATGCAGGATACTTATTCTATGAAACCAATTTCTTAGCTGAATATTTGAGTTCAAATTTTATTCTTTTAGTATTGAAAAAAGAAATTTTTGGACAAATTTGTATTTTCATTAGACAAAGAATATACCCAAATATAGAATGTAGACTAGAAATATATTATTCTGTATATTATCTTCATAACTACCAGGAAAAATTAACTTAAAAACTTATTTACAATTTCCATTTCATAAAAATGCAATGTCATTGCAACGAGGGTAACATTTTCCATATGATATCTTTTCAATTTTTAATCTGATTTATATTTTTAATCTGATTCGAATCACGATTTCTATGGAAATTTCTTTTTCAACAAAAATGCTTACACATTTCATAAAAGCTTATGAAAAACTGAAACATCTTACTAGCTACTTTATACTTTATCCTTAATTCCTCGATGAATTTCATGCATTTCACTACGTTTAAAATGTTATTAATTATTTTTATGGATGTATAAATTAAAAATTAATTATTAAAACGATTAACGGAATAATATCAGTATAATCAACATAACAACAGACTTAATATAATTAGAATAGCTCTCTGATTTCTTTTTTTAAAATTTAAAACTGTATTTTTATTTCTGTAGTCAGTAGTCGACTACAATTAATTTGCATAATGTTTAATTATATCGTTAATTTAATTTCACTTTTTTATATATCTAGCATAAGCATTGTCTCAGCACAGCAGTTGTGGCAATCTACACAAAGCACAAACGATATAGACCGATGTATTTAACGGATATGTTTGATACATGGCCATAAAAAGAATTAAATCCCGTTTTAAGTTCCCTGAAATGCAGCCTAATATCCCTACTGCAGGATTTTAAATTTTTTTCAAAACCTTGTCAAGGCTCTTTCTATTCGTGCTGAAATGATAAATTTATGTATACTCTTAATTAGCAGAATAGGACGAATATTATATAATAAGGCTGTATATTTTACTTTGAAATTTCACTTAAATTACTGGAAATTTTCAAAACAAAGATCTTTTGCTATTTGAAATGCTAAAATCCGTCAAAATCCAAAATCTGATTTTAAAAAATGAAAAAAATGAAAAAGAAAATGTAAGTGCGTAAGTTACGTAAATTAAGAAAACTGCTAAAATTTGTAATTCTTAGATCCGATTTTTTTTCTCTTAGATCAGTCCTAATGTTTTGACACAGAGGCAACGAAGATTACACTATCCGTAGTAAAATAGTATCAACAATTTTATTACAGCAAAATTAAATAAATTTTTAGCACTTTTCAGATACAATATGCTGCCAGTCCATCGTAGATTATCCGCCATTTTAAATAGCAATTTTATTTTTTGAAACAATGAGCTTTATATCTCTATTCGAAAACAATAATTTAGCTCATTTGTACCTTCGATTGTAATTTACTTGTATTTACTACCAATGAAACATACTGAATATAAATTTCGCGTGACCGAATGATTTTTAAAAAATGCAATTTTCAAGTTATAAACCTTTCAGCGTTTAAATTTATATTCCTAATAAATTAGGAAGTTCTTTATATGCGTATTTGCTTCTCTTAAAGCAAGCTTTTGCACTGCAGTTACTAGAACCTAATTTGTAAAATCCCATTGTATTAAAGTTCGAAACTTGGCCATAAACCATGTGAGGAAATTTAATTTGGAGGAGGAATTACTGGCAAATATGAAATTTAGAGGCACAGAAAAATAATATATAACTTGTGTCGTAATAACTCAAAGAAATTTATAATTATTATGTAAATTTCCCTCTTTCCATTTTTTATCGACAGTAATTTAAATTCAATCCTTTTCAACAGTTCAGAATTGACTCTCCTTCATACTGTAGGTTTTAACAAGCCATATATATGCTCGTTATAAGCACCTAAAACTTAATTGTGTGAAATTAAACAAAAGTGATTATCAGATTAAACAAATCCTAATTAAACAAAAGTGAATTATCAGTAATTATTTAGAAGTATTACTGAAATTATTATTAGCCCTAAAGGAACGGGCTTTTAATCTCGAAATGGCATTTTGCGTTGAATCTCTGAAAACGCCATTTCACTTTCCATACTGTTGCCACCAAATATTATTGCCTTGTATTATATTTAATGAAATTAAATAATGAAGAATCTGCATGAATGTATGTATGTTTCTCGCACTGTGGGAAAACGACAATACCTAGAGCCATCAAATTTTCAATAATTTAGTCTTCCACCCGAACATGGGCACCTGGAAGACCGAAATTTGAATTTAAAATTGGTTTTATTATCAATTTCATATTTTGTTAAACTTTAACGAATTTTCTATTTACAGACTTAGCGAAGAGTGATAACACTGTACGATATAAACATTTTTATCTCTAGCACAAGAAAATGTCTAAAGAATATTCACGAGAATACTCTAAAGATATGCAGTTTTTACATATTTTGCGATTTTGCTGTTGAACTGAATGTGGCGTAAGCACCAATAACGTGATATTTAATAAATAAAGCAAACACAAAAACACGTTCAAATAAAAAGATAAAGAAAGTTTTGTTAAGAAAGCCATCTGTTGTACAAAACTGAAAATTGATATGATCGAACTGAGATGAGACGGTGTCCGCCGATAACATCGCAGCAAAAACATCGCGGAGAAAACAACGCAAGGTGAAAACGTCGTGCTACAAAACATCGTGGGAGAAAACATCGCAAAGAGAAAACATCGCAGTTCTAAAACATCGTGATACAAAACATCGACGTCGAAAATAAAGCGGTTCAAAAACTTCGCAGTTTAAAAACATCGTCGTCGAAAATATCGTGGTAAAATATAAAGTAGCTACAAATCATCGTATGACGATAACATCGCAGACATGTTTTTTCAGGTTTTAATAACTTTAAATGGATATTCCCATAATGATTTGTAAGTGCAAGATGTAAAGAAGGATAATTTTTATTTTCACATTTTTTTTAACTAATAAAATTTTGCTGAAAACGTAAGAAGGAAACAAGCATAGAAAATTTAATGCAACTTATAGATTATACTTTTCATGAAAAACCACCTGTAAAAACTTTATAAAAATGATTTATTAATGGTCTTTGTTAGTTAACTATGTCGGTTTAAAATTCTATTAAGTGCTATAAGTTGCATTAATTTTCTATGCTTACGTTTCCTTCTTACTTTCTAAGTAAAAATTTATTAGTTAATAAAAAATATGTAAGTAAAACATATCCTTCTTTATATCTTGCACTCACAAATCATTATGGGGATATCCATTTACAATTATTAAAACCTGGAAAAAAAACATGTCTGCGATGTTATCGTCATGCGATGATTTGTAGATACTTTATTGTATATAATTTTGCGTAGAATATGAACATAAAATGCTAGTTGGGAATTAGGCTGGAATTCTGGAAATTAAATGCAATAAATATTTATACTTACGTCTTCACTTCTGAATTGTGCACTCGCTCCTGTTTCAGCAATGGCGACTGGTATAGCGGTACCTCGTACCGCAACCACGACAGCGAACAAAATGAGAGCCTTAAAAAGAAATGCAATTCTTTAGATTAATTTACTATAAAATGAAGATAAAAATTCAAACAAATTTTACGTCGCGTGCTTGCATATTTTTTACTTTTGAAAGTATATATCACTCTAAATGTTCCCTTCCCTGAATAAATGAAGTTATGTCGTATTAAAAAATTTTTTGCAGCTGAAATAATACGCATCGAATCAGAAAATTGATGCTGAATATAAACTAGCCGCTCATGTAAACTCAAAACTCTGGGAAAGTTTAATACACATAGTTATAATTGTTATACATGAAAGGAGCAAAATAAGAAAGAAATACTCATAGAATAAACCCGTCCACTTTCGCATTGCTGCATCATTATATGAGAGAATAACTATATATCTGCTCTAATAGTACTGCCTGCTCCTTTAGTTAATTAATGAATTTAATTCATTCTCCAAATGAAGAGTATATATCGTTTAGTAATTTAAAAATTTGTAAATTTATGAATGTTACTGCTTTCTGAAATAAATTTATAGTTTAGATTAAACGTCCTTCATGAAAATAGTTTCTATTCATTAAATAAATTATTCTAAACAATTTTCTTTCTGCACTCAATTTATCTTTAATCAAATAGAATATTTCATTATGCATTCATATAAGTTATTATAAATTTAATTTATTAACATTTAAAAATAGTTCTTGTTAAAAAAGGGTAATATAACTAAAATGAGAGTTTAGTACAGTTATTGTTATGCTAAAATGCTATTTTGCCATAATTAAACAAACAAGTAATTTTTGCGATATAAAGCCGAGAATAATCATTCATTCTTGTAAACAGTAGTTCTAATTAACGAATTCTCCATTAATTACGCTAAGTTTGGAAAAGTACTTTTATGTTTCTCCACAATAGGATAAAACAATTCAATAATTGCAAATTTGTCACTCATATTCATAACCTTTACATTTAATTGCAAAAAATTATTCTTAGACGTTTTAAAATTATAATTTAAATTCCATTTTTGCCGTTTGTATAAAAGTAAATCCAGCACTTAATAAAATTATATTTAATTTTATTTTCAAAAGTCTCCATTTCGATTAGATTGTGTACCTTAAAGTGAATTCTGCAATTTAGAATTAAAGTCTCTTTTGAATAAATTCAGTATATTTTCAATACTGTGTTCGAAAATTAGATGACGCAATCCTCTTTCACTCGAATTTCCTACTCCCTTCAAACTGAAAGTGAAATCAATTCTATTCAAAATATTCATAAATAAAAAAATGTAGCAATGTTGTTACTAAATATCAAAATATTATAATAAGCGAAAATTTAAATCCGTTTTGTAACACGTAGAAATTACTGTCTCTAAGAGCTGCTTAAATGCTTGCTTGATTGAGGACGCAGTTCTTGCTACAGATATCTCAAAATCTCAAATGTTAAAAGTCTCAGATTAGATTGTATACCTTAAAGTGAATTTTGCAATTTAGAATTAAAGTCTCTTTTGAATAAATTCAGTATCTTTTCAATACTGTGTTCGAAAATTAGATGACGCAATCCTCTTTCATTCGAATTTCCTACTACCTTCAAGCTGAAAGTGAAATCAATCCTATTCAAAATATTCATAAATAAAAGTATGTAGCAACGGTGTTATTAAATATTAAAATTATATAATAATCGGAAATTTAAATCCCTTTTGTAACACGTAGAAATCATCGTATCTAAGAACTGCTTAAATGCTTGATTTAGGAAGCAGTTCTTGCAACAGATATCTCAAAATCTCAAATGTTAAAAGTCTCCATTTAGATTAGATTGTATACCTTAAAGTGCATTTTGCAATTTAGAATTAGTCTCTTTTGAATAAATTCAGTATCTTTTCAATACGTGTTCGAAAATTAGATGACGCAATCTTGCTTTCATTCGAATTTCCTACTCCCTTCAAACTGAAAGTGAAATCAATTCTATTCAAAATATTCATAAATAAAAGAATGTCGCAACGTTGTTATTAAGTATTAAAATAATATAATAATCGGAAATTTAAATCCCTTTTGTAACACGTAGAAATCATCGTATCTAAGAACTGCTTAAATGCTTGCTTGATTCAGGAAGCAGTTCTTGCAACAGATATCTCAAAATCTCAAAGGCTAACTTACCTTCATGTTCCTGGTATGACTGTACTCAACGAGAGCAACTATTTCTACAGATTCATCAGAAAAATCTTCTGAATTTATACTAACGCTTGAGATTGATACGCATTATGTGGTCATTGGTCAAGAGCCAGTCACGTGCACAAAACTTTCTTCTGTCATCCTTAACGGGCAGAATCTCCTCCCCCCATCTTGCATCATCCGCATATTAAGTTTACAATCTTCATCTTGCCCCCCTCCCATCTTAGAGTGAATAAAAGTCAGTTCCCTCTTCAGGACCTTGATCTAAATTTCCTACGGTGTAATCAGCAATCGACCTTGATTCGAAGATGGGGAAGGCCGGTTCTGTTTATAACGGAAAAGGTGTGGGCAAAGCTGCAGGTAGTGAGAGAAATCCCTAACTATATTCATTAGGGATTTTCCTTTCAACAGAAAAATATTTCAGGAATTTAGAAACTTAATATTTTGATTAATGGTATTATGCAATAGATGAAATAATCCTAAGCAGTGTATCAACCTCCATCAGCAAGGAAATGTACGTTGTACCACATAATTATCAACCGTCAGTTATATCAGCAATCTGACGCATTGCTTGAAAGGTAAACATGACAGAAAGTTAATTGTCAATGCAGTCTAAGTGCAACAATTGCCTTAATTCCCTTTCCGTTATGATGTGAGAAAAGATATTGATTTACTAATGATCCTGTTTCGCAATAGGTTTTCATCAAAGCAAGTAAACATATTTATTTTGATTTAATAGGTGTGGCTGGCCCTGAGATAACAATAATGATATAGCGGGAAAAGAAAATGAATCAATTAAAGGTTTCTAAAAGTGAAGATTTAATTAGAAGAAATTTCGTGGTAAAAGGATATATACTGAGCATCTGCAATATTTCGAGATTTAGCTCATGAAAAATGAGATTTGGAAACTTTATTCTAAATTATCCTTCTACAGGGTGTTCGAAAAAGGCCTTTATTATTACATAAATTCGTAACTTAGAATCAGGGCGATGTATTAGAATGCGGTTTGCAGAAAGGAAAAGAAAGACTCAAAAGTTCTTTGAGTTCTTCAAATTCTCATGCAAAAGCCGACCTTTTTAACTCGCTTCCTGTAAACATCAACATGATCTGCTTTAATATCACGAACAGCATTCGTAAATTCTCTCTATTCTCTCTAATAGGCTCCTACAAAAACTTTTGTAAGCTCTTCCGCAGTTCATCCGTTTTGAAAGGTTAGCATTGCAGAGTAATTATGATTTTAATTTAATGTTTTCCCATTGTTTTAATATTATTTACAAAAAAGGTTTCGGCATTTCTATGTAAGGGCTATTAACTGATAATACCACTTTGTACATATGGCCAAGAGTTATTTGCCATATTAAACAATAACGTAAATTTAGGAAAAAATAAGCTCTTGAAATAGAAGGTTCTTTATTGCAGACTAGCATACCAAAGAAGAATTTATGAATAAAATTTTCAGTTTAATTTTAATATTAAAAAATTACAAATATAAAACTTCATAAAAAATTCTAATTTGCTCCAGTTGCATAACACATCGTTTTAAAACACTTTCGTTAATTGCAGTAAAACTGTAACTGGAGCGTATATTGTATCTGCTAGTTTGAGTTACCATTCCATGAAGAATATGTTTGCTCATATGTGGCACAGCTACATTTGAGGAAATCTAGACGTCAGAAATTAGTACACCATAAACCGTTCACAGATACAGTTGTGTACTGTGGAAGGGAAAGCTTTCAATCAAACCGACTATGTCACAATTTCTCAAGTAGCGAGGGAATAAAAATGAAGGAAAGAAAATCGGCGTGATAAATTTCATTCCAACAAGACTGCAAAATAGCAGGCACAAGTACTGTTGTCAGACTATGGCACATATTCTCGGGCAGTAAGGGCGGGAATGTGAAGGAAAGGCAACTGGCGTACGCATTCCGATTCCAACAAGACGGCGAAATCTCAAGCACAAGTACGGTTGTCAGACTACGTCACAGATTCTAAAGTAGTGAGGATGGGAAAATGAAGGAAAGGTCATTGGCGGGTACAGTTTAATTCGAAGAAGATGGCAGAATTGTCAGCAATATTATGACTGTCAGTCTATGTCATAGAATGTCAGGCAGTGAGAAGGTAGGTAGGTAGGTAGGTTATGGAGGACTGGAATGCCTGGTGTCTAACAGAGGTAAACAGGCATGTGTTCTACACCCTCCTCTAACTACAGCAAAAGCTCCCTGGAGACTCACGAGGCTGCACCAGGAGTTTATTGAGTTTGTCAAGGGAAAGGACATGGCCTTTCAAGGGCAATTGGTACACAATCGGATTCCAACAAGACCAACATTAGGTTTTTTTTTTTTTTTTTTTTTTTTTTTTTTTTTTTTTTTTTTTTTTTGAGCAGGAGAAGTGGAAAATTAGCAACACCTTCGCTGGGAATTGAACTGCGGATCATTGGAATACGCTCCCAGCGGGCAGGCCACCATACCACGAAGGCATTCCAAGAAGGCGGGAGAAATACGTTATAAGCTTAATTATTTCAAAATAAATTCCTATAAATTGTCTGAATTCTGAAGCAACTGAAATCAAAGTATTTCCAAGACAATTAATTTTCGATATATTATAACAGGGTTATAATATTTCGAACTATTTAATAGGGTTTTTTTCGAAATATTAACAGAAAGGGTTTTAAGGATCAAAGTAATTCAGATTATTACTGATTTTCAATAAATAGTTATAATAATATTAAATATAATAATCATTAAATATAATAATTATTAGTTATTAATTAACCGAATTAATAACTAAAAATTAATTAATTAGTAATTAATTAATTAATCTTAATTAGAATTAACCGAAAATAGTAAAAAGGAACTTCTAAACGAAGAGGCGTTTTAGATTCTCTTATTAAGAATAGTAACTTTTGAAACCATCAGCATTGAATCAACGAAAATGATTAAACAATATTTATTTACTTTTCTGTAAAAATTTCTTAAAATGAAAGTGTTTCATAAATATTTAAAACAGAACAAGATTATAGCTTTCATGCAACCTACGTAGTAATAACCATTTAACATGCATTGTTTCAATTTTAACATAATACGCGTATATTTAACTTTTTCGGGTAAGTTTCTAGAATAAATATTACGTCAAGCTGTGAAAATTTCTAGCCAAATATTGTTAATACCAATAAAAAAATTTCCAAGAATATTTTTATTTCAAAATTCTCTCTGTGACGTACAATAAAAATGGTCTAAACAAATTATGACGATTTTTTAAGCATTTTCAACTGTGTTCAGTATTTTTCTAGGCAGTTTCTTGTACAGTAAATTAGCACTGCTTTTAGTAAATAGATTAAGATTGTTTTTTGTTTTACTTTGACAAGTATAGAAAGTAAATCAAAATTGTCCGAGCACCAAAAATTAAAACAATAATACTTTTTATATTTAAAATTACGTAGTTATATGAAGTAATATATTTTTGCCTTTTGAGCTATTCTACCCAAAGAAGTGCATGAAACATAAGGCAAGAAAACCAGAAATTTCATACGAATGCTTTAGTCATTCGAATGCTTTACTATGAGACACCAAATATAAAGAAGTTAATTTTACAAAAGTTGAAAAAATTAGATCCCTTTTACAAATTAGATTTTCAAAATGGGGGAAATATAAATTAAGTATTATCCTAAAGAGATATTTAAAGGGGTGGTAGATAAGCTCCTGCGCCTTCTCCCCCCCACTTTAAAAGACGAAGACAGACACAAATTTTTAAATCCACAAATTTTTCAGTGTTATTAGAAAACTTTCCTAAAATTTGACATTTTATATTCAGGTTTTTCAACCCGTGTGCTAGGGAATTATTCCATTTCGCGTTTTTGGTTCTGTGATGTGAGTAGTCAGCTAGAATAGCCACGGTTTGAATTTCAGCAACGTTTAAGTCTTGCCTCCAAAATTCCTAAATAGGCACTAAGTTACAGAACTAATTCATCAGGTTGGCTAATGAATTATCATTTGCTCATATTATGATTTTAAAACATTTCCAATATATATATATATATGATGTACCAGCTTTTTTCCGGAATAAATAGATTGGTGAAGAATCATAGCTGTAGTCGTAGCTTAAATTATCAGACGATAAGTTTAAAAAACAGGATCCATTTATTATTGGTCAGGAGAAATAGCAGTTACAAAAATCATATTTCCGGAGTAAATAAAAACGAATTACTAATAACTTTTTATATGAAGTTTACTGCATCGTTAAATTAAAGGAAAGACCCCGATATTCTTTTGCGAGTCCTTTTATAGCCTCTGGAAAGGTGGAGTTTCCAATAAATGACGTCAGCCTCGTCAGCCATTCCAGGTCGCTTTAAATATCTCCAGAACATTCTATAACTGTACGTGTAGAAAAGGCGTGAAAAAAAAAAAACTTGACTACGGGGCTGTGCATTTAATCCCACGTACTTTCAAATAAGAAATCGTCGCCATTAAAAAAAAGAAAAGAACATACAGTTAGAATTTTTTTTGTTATTACATATATATATATATATATATTGCAAAAAAAATGTCTGGAAGTTACTATTAAATTATAGGAAAGAATGTAAAAACTTTCCTAAGATTTTGTTATTTACCTTACGAATTGATAAAAAGATTGGAAACTCGAAAAATCCCAGTTTAAATAATCTTGGAAGGCTGAAGAACAAGGCTTAATCACAATAAAAAAAAATAAAAACACGACATCTCTTACCCTTTACAACTTTCTTTAAAAAACACTGAAATGTTTACTAACTCTATCTGTTGTGTTCAGTAAGTATAAACATATAAACTAAAGTTTTATTTTTGACGTCCACAAGCATTAGTGATTATATGTCGCAATATATTTAAAACAAAGTGGTTTCCGAGTTTAAATGCATGAATTAAAATGTCAGAGAAACGATGGTACAATAGCGAGAATTCTTTCTAATTTTTTTATTAATCAGATTATTTACAAGAATACAAAGCATCCAGTAAATAATTCAGAATTTTTATTTCGGTGAATTTGCAACTTTCAATGAAACAATTATTTCAA